GCAAGATGTTCCAAAGGGCGGGGGCTACAGCAGAGAAGGCCCGCCTTCTGGACCCCGCTAATTGGAGTTCTTTTGCCGAGGGGGTCCAGAGCATGCCCTTTCTGTGAGATAGGGTGGGACAAGGCGGTCCCTCAGGTAGCCTGGCCCCATGCCATGCAGGGCTTTAAAAGTGATAACCAACACCTTGAATTGGACCCGGAAACAAACCGGTACCCAATGCAGCTCATGAAGCAAAGGTGTTATATGGGTCCTTCTTCGGACCCCAAAAATAGCTCACGCGGCTGCATTCTGGACCAGCTGAAGCTTCCGGATATTCTTCAAGGGGAGCCCCATGTAGAGCACATTGCAGTAGTCTATCTGTATTGTATCAGCCTTCCCTGATCTGGTACCAATGCACTGAACTTCATCTCTGATGATTGTTGGATAAAACTACATTAGAGACAGGTTGTGTTGGGAAATATATTCTATATGCTGGAATGAAATGCAGTATCCGAACTTGATTGCTTAAATTTTTCAGATCACCTAACATTGAAAAAGGAACAAATACCGTATTTATTGGCGTATAACGTGCACCTTTTCCCCTAAAATTTGGGGCTGAAATCCTAGCTGCATGTTGTACGCTGGGATACTCAAGCAGCAGGGCTGGGAGAGTGGAGCCTTCATTTGAGCCAGGGCTGTAACTGGGGCAGCTCCGCAGAGCAAGAAGGGAGCAGGTGTGCGAGTGAGAGAAATGCTGCTCACACTCTGCTCTGCGGAGCTCAGGGGAGCACCGGTTTTTGCTCCCTCGCTCACCTCCTGCTCTGCAGAGCTCAGGCGCCAGTGATGGGGAGATTTTCTTTGTTCAAAGAGGTGCTTTTTCTTTCATATTACGTATTCTACCTTATAAGTGGTATAAATATTAATAAACAAAAAGTCCAGAGATCCCTTTATTTTGGTTCCAAGTCATTTATTTTAAATTTAAGTTTTTTAACTCAAACTTCCCTCTTAAAATTAAGGTGCGTGTTATATGCCTGTGCTTGTTATACACCGATAAATATGGTAAATGCATTTCATACAGCTAATGAAATAAGTCTTTTAAATGTTATTTTATTTACTACTTGATTTAAAATAAGATATTTTACATACAAAGTCGTCTTTAGCTCCAAGTCTGTTCTGCCTCTCTTTCTCCAAAAGTTCTTCCAGAATAGACCAAGCTGTAAGACTGACACCTGGCCTTAAATGGAGGGGTTTGTGAAGAATGTTTTCATACATCTCAGCAATGTCACGGCAGTAAAAAGGAGGCTGGAGAGGTAATAGGGAAAGATAACAGAACAAAGTTAATAGTGTATTTGTTCAAGAAATGTAAGTAGATATATATTGCAATGATCACCCATGCTACAGAATGTTCACCCTCCAAGATCACAGAAGAGAACAGTTCAGAACAGCAACTTATCTGCTTAATAAGTGCATATCATAAAGATATAAGAGAGAGGATTTATTTTAGGACTGGACCATCATTTTAGAATTTTCTCTGCTTGGTACTCATGAAATTGAACAGTTTCTAAAGTGCCATAAGACCTTCTTAATACCTGGGATTAAATAAACAAGGGATCATTTAAATTAAATACTGCATTTTTCTATCTTGAGCTGGATTGGATTATAGTTTCAGATTCAGCACTAAATCCTAAAGATGACCTAATCTAGAAATGTAGGAAATTAAAAATTATTGATGGATTATTGCTATATTATAATGTAAAAATAGGTCCACTGCATAAGATTTACCACCAAGGGGCTTGCTCCCAGGTAATTATGTTTTTAAGAAAGCAACCTTAATCAGAGTGATCTGAAATAGAAAACAATCAAGGACTGGTAGGAAATATCTTGGGAGGAAAATAACTTGGTTCTAATTAGCAATAGCTGCTATTTTTCTGACACATCATGTGTTTAAGGATCTCGGATCAGAATCTTAATGCACTGGATGCAATATTCCCTTTACTGTCCAATATCTTCAAACAAAAATTGCTTGTGACATGATAAATAATATTCTTATTCAAAATTATTGTGTATTCTTTATTGATGTAAGCAAAACATTTTATAACTGGGATAGGAAGCAAAGTAGGACGAAATAGGCATTTTCCTAAATGCTGAAAAATGTACATTTCAGTATAAGTATTACAAAAAACAAAAAAGATCCTTGTTATTCTATTATCAAGGAGGAATGAAAGGATAAGTGAGAAGATGTTACAAATGTCCTAGATACTGTCATCTTTTTCTGAATGATTCCATTCTCTTTAGCAGCGAATACAATCATTGCTATTTCAGTTGTCTATTCTTTTGTGCTAGGTGACATAATCTGTTCCGCTAGCCAGCCAGGAAGTTAAGAGAACATCAGAAGCAAATGACTAAACTACAAGACTTGCTGGGAATAAATATGCACTGTTGATGTTACTATGTTTTTAATATTAGAAATTAAAGTTAATTTTAAACTTAATTAAAGTTAAGTTAATTTTAAACTTAATTCTGCTACATCAAAATGAGGTTCCCTTTAGTCAACATCCTGTTTCCAACAGCAGGAGCTGAGATACAGGATAAGAAGTTGTTTCCTTCTAGCAAGTAGTATATATGTTTAGGCATTGATTCAGGTGTGCAGTTTGAAAAATATGAGATTACCTACCAGACCATATAGCATTTCATATAAAACAGCTCCAAGGCACCACCAGTCTACAGTGTTATCATAGGGTTGCTTTCGGATCACCTCTGGAGCCAGGTACTGTAGGGGAAAAACGGCTTCACCAGTCACTAGGAAGCACAACTCTTTTCAGTATAAGTGATGCTAAACATAAGTCTATGGTCTTTCACTCTCAACTATTTAACAGAGCTCAAAATCGATTTCTTAGATATATGTGTGTTATTATCAATAACAATAGATGTTTTGAAGCTTGTTTTTATGATTTTATAGTTTGTAGTTTTATTACTGCTGTGAGCTATCCAGAGTTGTGTTTTCAGATAGGCTTCATACAAATCTTATCAATCAATCAATCAATCAATCAATCAATCAATCAATCAATCGATTTAAAACAAAAACAGAATTCTTCTAAACCAATTGCCCCTACAATGGGCCCCCTACTCAATCTAGCCCAAGGCCCGGGGGAAAAGACACACTCATTTGAATAAGGGCAAGATGGGGGCCGTACAAATCTCAGGGGGGATATGTTGGGAACTTTCTTGTGATACTGATAATTATATAACACTACTAAAATATATTTTTGTGCAACTATTGGCTTAGTTTGGCTTCTCTATTCCACAGCCTTTTTAGGCAGCAAATCTACCATCCCCACAGTCAGCAAGACTTTCCAAATATTTAATTTGCATCTATTTTACTTAGATGTTATATATCTCAGCTATATTTTTGCAATTCTATCCATGGAAGTTTCAAACATGCACTAGCACTTTCTTTTTAGTATAAAGTTTGTCTGAGCAACACCTTCCTCCTGATGTGCTCCCATCACCCTAGCAAGCATATCAGAATTGCCTGAAAAATACAAAAAATATATATATTATGCAAGTAAATTAACTTACCTCTGGTGTTCCACAAAATGTTGCAGTGGTGTCTGAAGTAGCAATTCCTTCTTTACAAAGTCCAAAATCTGTTAAGACAACATGCCCCTGTATTGAAAATAGATAGTCTACTGTCAAACAATGAAGAAAGTTAGTGATTGTATTATTTAACATTTCTTGGATAATAGAAAGAAATATTCACTGCCTACCAATGAATCTAGAAGAATATTTTCTGGCTTCAGATCCCTGGGCATAAATGGGAAAAAAGGAAAAATAATTCACTATAAGATATAAAGTAAAATCTCTAGCAAGAGTCATGCTCTTGTGTGACTTTTAAAAAGAAATAAGGTCTCTGTATAAACCAACAAACAATAAAAGTGACAAAAATATATATTAATAGAAAATGCCTGGATTTATTTTATTTTCCTTTTTAGTCTAAGTTATTACCTGTATACAATTTTTACGGAGTGCAAGTAGCCCAGCGCACTGGCTATTTCAGCAGCATAAAACTTGGCTCTGTGTTCAGGAAAGGTACGTTCTTTTTGCAAGTGAAAGAAGAGCTGCAAATATGCATGGAGCAAGTTAAAAGAAAATGGCCTTAAAAGCTGTGTTATTCTTAGTAATAAGATTAACACATTCTGCAGTTTCCCTATCAACATCTATTAAAACAGTGAAAATCTGCACTCTGTGTATTCACATCCTTCCTTTAATCATTTCCGTATTTTTTCACATCTGTAGACTTGGCATGCTAGGGCTGCAACTGCTAAATAAACAACTACAATGCTCTAATTTGTACATAAATCTAACCTACAATGTTATTTGCTTGTTACTAGTTTACAGTGATGGGTAAATCTATTCATTATAGTTTAGTATGGTATATAAACTGGTCCACTATAGCATCCAGCAACATGGTTTTAGAAATCCTGGCTTAGCGTTATTTGTGAATGCTACCCATGTTTCACTAGTTAATATAAATCACGAATATAATAAATTTTAGACTAAATATTCCATATAGTGTACATATAAGACAGTAAGTAATAACATTAGCAGCAAATCAGCAAATGGATCTATATTTGCAATGTGGGAATTGATTTACATTAAGCCACTACAATTAGTTACTGCAGTTTCTCTTAAACTGTAGGCCAAAACTCATAATTCTGCAATTTCAATAGATGGCATATGGCCACAATATAAAAACTGAAAAGTATACCTACCTCTCCTCCATTAACAAAATCCAGAACAAAGTACAGCTTCTCTGTTGTTTGGAATGAATAATGTAGTCCAACTAAAAATGGATGTTTCACATTTTTCAAGAGCACATTACGTTCAGCCATGATATGTTTTTGCTATGAGGAAATAAAGGTCAGTAAGTAAGTAGGAACAATTTGTAATTGAAAGGAAGAATAAAATCTCTTTCCTTTCACCTCTTTCCTGTTTAGGACAATTTTCTTCTGCAGCACTTTGACAGCATAGAACTTCCCATCCCGTTTTCGTTTTGCAAGAAGAACCTAAAGAAGAATTTTCATACAAAGTCAAAGTCTGTTCTACTGAAGAACTCAAGTAAATGTTTTTCCAATTTCTTAGGTTTTCTAAAGCTTCATATAATACAAAACCTTATATTAGATTATTTGTTTACCTAGCCTAGCCCTATATACTCTCACAAGTAGCAGCTGTTTAGAGATTATGCAGAGTTATTTTAGATTACTTGCTATATTTTTTTTAAAAAAACACCTTTGAGATCCCAGGGATTGAAACTGGGATCTTTGATATCTAAGACATGCAGTTCTCTCATTTAGCTATAGGTCTTCTTTTCATATAATCAACAAAAGGATATATCCCAAACTACAGAATCAAAAAATGTTCAAATGGAATGGTACGAGCAAAGACTTTATTATAATAAAAATCAAACCTACCTTGCCAAAGCTGCCCTTCCCAATAACTTTCAGGAAGTCGAAGTCTGTAGGTTTTGCACTGGAGTAGTTTCAGGATAAAGAAAAACACAGGTAATCAAACTGGTAAAAGTAGCTATTTAATGGTTGAATGGCAGTCATGTCATATATTCTTCCTATCTTCCCAAATTTCTCTTTTATAATAACTATTCTTTCTATATTTACTGTGCTCTCTTGTCACAGTTCAAATTTAACAGTCAGACGTCGGCCATATTTCAGTCTCCTAGAACACCAATGATTCTACACAGCCTTTTCTATTTTATGCATGTGCATTCTCATTATCCTCCATGTTACTTTTCCTTAGTATTTGTTTTACTGACTTTCCACACATTTATCCTTTCCCTTTTATTTTTTCTTATACTCAATAACTTGCAAGACAATATTCTCTTGGTTCAAAATTGCAACAGTTTCTTCCTAAAATGCCCCCAAATTGAAATTACATGTATGGTGCTCTTTACTCCCCCCCCCCATGGTTAATGAAATAACTGCAAAGACTAGTTTATATTTAACTAAAACCTACTGAGGATTTCCAGATGGCCCCAAGTTGATGCTCTGTGAGGTAGAACTTAGCTGTTGAAAGATAAAAATCTAAATTAGACTCAGATCAAGTTTATAGATAATTCATTAGTTAGAAAGAACATTTAATCATTACATTTCAGATTGCATTTTTAATTCTAGTATATTCAAATTAAGTATTTTGGGGGCAAAAAGTCTTTCTTGTAATGCTGTTTTTGAAAGAAACAAAGGTTAATTACTGTAATCCCTATCACTGCAGAGATGTTCCTGACACCAGTGAGTGTAAATTGTTCTTTTTTTCAACTTGTTTCTCAGACAGTTTTTTAAGTTTAGGAGCAAAGTCTATGTTCCCCACATATCTTTGTGTGCTGTCCAAAAGAAAATCCATCTTGTTTTAATAAACAGCTTTGAGGTTGAAAAAGGAAACTCAGTGATACAAACTAAACTCCAAAAAGGTATTTGGAAGGGACTGCACCAACCACTGTGTATCTTTTTAGATATGCTGTGACTATACCTACAGTTTTTGTTGGGGTCAAACTTTCCAGACCTTTGAAAAGATTTTAAAAGAACAAATAATAGGATTAACCCTTCCAGAGGTTTAAGGCACCTATTTTACAGATAAATTTTTGCCATTTTGCTGTTAAATGTTACCAGAAGAATTCTCTAAGTCTTTGAGAGCAAAAAAAAAAAAAAAATTGCAGGGATGAATGTGACCCACAGGCTGTCAACCCCACCCTAGAAAGATGGGGCAAACCCCTGGGTCAGAGTCTGACTGATTATATCTACACACTTCACTATGCCCCCCCTCCCCCAAATCCTGGAACACAATAAATCCTGCTGAACTAAAAATATACAGTAAGTGGAAGGAGTTCTATGTGGAGAGAAGATGAGTACTATTAAAATCTGGTCTGGAAGAAAGAGAGAAACACTTTCCTGCCTGGAGAACAGATGTGGTAGGAACCGAGTGACAGTTAAGTTAGAGCTGGGGTTAAAGTTGTTACCAATGAAAAATATGGCTGTCTATCAACATGCCTAGTTACTATGAACAACCTCATTTTGTAAAATGATAATTGCATTTGGTCTTATATAAAGAGTATTTTTCTGTATTTTGTGTGGCTTTCACATTCCACTGTTGGATTAAATAAATTTATTGGTTCAAAGTTGAATGGATTAGTACAATATATATTACTGTGATGATGATGATAATTGTGTTATAGCTATTAAGTATTGTTCATCTCAAATGAACAATAAATTTTGGGAAGAAACTCTGCTTATGCAAGTATACATACTAGTGTAAAACTAGAGCAACTAACTCATAGAGCAGACATTAGAACTTGGCATTGTTTAAATTGTCCTGGCAAATAAAATCAGCATCATCTGCAAATAAAAAGTCCAATTGTGACATGACAAACTCACATTACTAAAGAAAATTAACATTTCTCTACCAACTCATCAAATACGGTTATCTGACTGTCGGCAGGGGAACGGAAAGCATCTCTGAAATATTAAACATTCTAATAGGACATCAATATTAAATCTGTGAATGATATAAAAATGAAAAAAGTAAAACGTGGCAAGATACTTGATTATATTGAAAATCAGATGTTTATTAATGCTGAGGGGGATTTCTTAGAGACATGCTGTATCTTACAGGTTCAATGCATGGCTTTGCTGACCACTAGAATACAGAAGTCTCTGACCAGGGGTGGGTCAGCACTCCATGGAGCTTGCTTGAGCACTGTAGCATGAAGTAGGCTGTAGTGTTGAGTGACATGAACTATATGACAATTCGCCAATAGTAGGAGGGTAGTGATTAGTATTAGTTAATGCTGGTTTAATTGCCAGAGACATGCTCTTACACATTTTCCTTTACTAAAATGTATTGTGGATGTGCTTGTAATTTCACTGATGATGGTGCAAAGATTCCAAACTAAGCTTACTAACATAAAAATTGGCATCTTCACTGGAACATAGGAAGAGTGGTTATGTATATTTTAATAATAGTCTAGCAATACAAGTTGAAGGATTCTAAGCCTTGAATAATGTGAAATAAAGACTTAACATTCTAAGACTACTATATTTAGGAAGAGAGGTAGGCAATGCTTTACATTCCACTGTAACATAAATCAAGGTGTTAGACATTGGAAGAGGCCAACAGGGTAGAGGAAATAAGGTAACTACTGTAATTTATGCAGAGGATGGGGAAAAAATAATTACCTTTTGACTGTTTCTTTCATCCTCATCTTCAGATGGATCATATTGGTGCTTTGGATTGTCCATCTGAAGAAATGATCTTACATCTGGACTAGGAAAGATAATTTAAGTGATTATATAATGTTTTGTTATATACTTTCAATGTGAATAACGCATACAACAAAACAAAAAAATTATCATCATGACTTAGATGAAAACTGAAATAAAACAGGAAGCTAGTTAGATTATATCAGAGTTACTTAAGATGAAGCTTCCATTTCCATCTCTACAGTATATATTAATTAAATGACTTGTGAACACCACCAGGAAGAAGCAATTTCTGTTGTAACACTTTTGGTATTGCTGCCATTTTTAGTTTTTAATTTGTTACATTTTTTATCAATAACATTAAAATCACCACCAAAATTATATACTACAATTGAATGAAAGCAGCAGAAATTTGCTCAGTTAAAACTAATTTCAAAGGCATTAACTGACCAAAACGTTTTCCAAAAAAAGCCACATTTTAATAAGCCACAGCAAAGCCAACAGTGAAGTTGTCAACCTCATTACGACTGGATATATACTCCAGAGTAGGCATGACCATGGGACAAGTAGAACCTGAATTTGAATTATTCTTACTTTCCTTGTGGATAGGACATCATCTAGTGCATCATACATCAATCTGAAGGTCTGTAGAGGTATATTTGGGAAGATGCATTTTCTGAGATATGTAAATTCCTTATCTTCCAAAGACTGTAAAAAAATGTTTGCCAGTAGTTTCAACTGGCCCTGGAAACTATAAAGATGTCCCTTCAGTTGAGCCAGAATTGGAACATTCTATAATCTTTTTTATTTCAAGCAAGTCACAGCTTTCTGAATTTGCTAAAGCTTCCAAACTGTCCTAAAGGCGGCAGCTCTCTAGCAATAATGCTGCAACAATCAATTCAGGATATATATCAGTGATCCTGGGCAGATGGTTCTCAGCGTTTACTATTTGAAATGATTGAAAATGAATTCTGGTCACAATTAGTACTTAGAAATCCAACAGAAATGCAGGGTTCACAATGACCAAAGTAAAAAGTTTATTTCCATCTAATCCTAACTCCCAAACTTGTTAGCCACCACTATTCAGATTCATTCATTTAAAGACTGAATTATTCCTACATTTGATTAAAGTTATAAAGCTAATCTTAATGTATCATTCACAGGGTACAACTCTGTCTACTGATTCCTCCTGTGACTGCATATAAATGTGAAAAACACCATGAACAAATTGAAATCTTGAGGCTTCTCACAGAATTCAGGGAATAATGATTAGCTAAGGAACAGGAAAATTGCTGAGCTAAACCAGCATTTCCCAATCTGATGCTCTTCAGATGGCTTGCTAGTTGAAAGTAATGAGAGTTAACCAATACATTTGTAAGGCACCAGATTAAAAAAAGGATCCAGTCTGTTGCAATCTATTCTGAAAGATGTTGTGATTTATTATACTTAACAGTAATGATAGTTCCAGAAAAATAATATAAATCACATCTCCCCTGGCAATCTCTAGAGAAATGCTGTCAAGTGAGGGCATAATAATGAGTCAGGTCTGCAAATATTTATTTGTTCATTAAATTTGTATGCCACGAAATCTTCAAGATTCACGGTGGCTTACAATAACATAGAAAGATACAATAAAATTGCCACAATAAAATAAAAGTATTGAATTGTATAACAAAGAATTCTAATCAATACCTAGTGAGCACTCTCTAAAGATCCTCCAATGATGTTTGGTCTTTAAAATCTTATAATTATCCAGTTAGCCAGGTTAATTGGCACACTAAGCCATTTCAGTTCATATTTTATTAGAATTTTCCTGTTAAATATTTGTATATTTCTACTTAGCTCAGAATTTTTACAAACATGCCAGTAATTCCATCTTTTATGCATTTATGACAGTTATTTGGGGATATAAAAGGACTTGCACTTGGCTAACAGAATTTATTATTAATACAGGGAAAGAATGAAGGAAACCTCTAAGAGCATAGCCATAACCTTAGACAACTGTGCAAAAATTGAAACAGTTAAGAACCAGACAAGCAGAATCTTTAATTTTCAGGATATGGCACTGGTGATTATGTGGATGGAAGAGGTTTTATCTACAAAATGTTTAGGATTATGGTTTCAATGGGCTGCAAAGAGAATTCCTTCCTCTGGAATAGATGGAGACACTGCATTTTAATACCATATATTTCACAGGTGAGTACTGGGCTTCTTTAGAAGAGCAGAATTCAGGATAACAACCAATTTTATTCACGTTCTCATCTAGCTATCTCTTCTGCAATTTCATATTCTAGATATCTTGATTAAAACCAAAGTAATAGTCTTATTTTTTGACAGAGCCAAGAAGAAACCCTAGTCCTGGTGAGATGATGTCAACCTTAATTGTGTTATGAGCTTGCTTACATTCATTTATTCTTCTGATTTACAAGGGTGGTGATATGAAACCTGAAATTAACAGGCAAACCCTTTCAGAAAGTTCTGAATGCCAGTGGGACTATAAGTTCCATCAGATGGATTACTTTAATCAACCACAGATTCCTTCAGTCAGAGAAACTCCTTGTGAAACAAATAAGTGAAGCTAACCATAGGACCAGACTATTAATAATTAAAGGCTTAACTAGTGATTTTAGCAGCAATTCTGCAGTGGTTTAAAAAAATAGGGAGTATCACATCTAATTGAATACTCCAACCCTGACCAGCCAAAAGCATACCTCAAGAAGAACATCATGGTGATCACTTTCCATTTCATTGTGTGCAGCATCTGGTAATCAAAGGTTATAGACATTCTCTTGCAATATATCACTTAGAAAGAACTTGTGGACTGTGGTTTCCATTCTATAGTTTACCACATAATTTTATTCTCTTGGGGGAAAAAACAGATTCACTTACTGATTGCAAAGCTCTGGCTGTCGTACTAAATTCTGAATGAATTCATTCAATCCTGCTCTTCTTTGTTTAATGAAATCTGAAAAACAAATGAGAAAAGATCAGATATTAGAATGCATGTTTCAAAGTTTAAATATACACATTTCTTAGATTATCTCATAACAAAAACATGAAAAATCTTTGCTCCTGTATTCTCAATCAGAGCTGTTCTCCAGAGTCCCACAAATGTCAGTGGACAGGCGAAACAGATTAGATTAGACTAGCTAATAAGTAGATCCTTTATAAAAAGGCCATCTTATTGTCTACCAAATCCTTTAAACTATAGATTTAATTCCAAAAGTGCAGCAGGCATTTAAAGGAGAAGGATATGGTGAAATGGATACTACTGAATAGACACTTGAAAATAAAAAAAATATGTCATCCCCATATGTGTGTGTGTATTGAGATACATACATACATACATATATAT